TTTTTTTTTTTTTTTTTTGGGCAATGGAAACAAATTCTACCCACAATTGTAACAAATTATGCCCTTGTTTGATCCACATTATATTCTTAAGAATGCATTTTTGAATAGTGTATTGATGAAAAATGTGTGGTTAAAAAATAAAGAAAAGTTTTGAATCTACGTGTAATATTATTTTATTGAAGAATGTGAAGTTGAAATGATATCAAATCACTATTTAAAAATATATTTTTTTGAAAAAAATGTGGCTCAAACATAGCCTATGTCCCTTTAATTGACAATTTTATAGAAAACAAAGTTAAACGAACACCAAAAGATTCAAAACTTAAATATTTTTCATGTAAAAAATTATACCAATCAAATACATTGAATTGTCAATTCCCAATAAAATAAGTTTTAGGCAATTCAATTATTTAAAATTCGTTTTCTTTCCACCCAAATTTCATTCTTGCAATCAAACGGGCACTAATTGTTATTACATTTCTACTAATCAAACTAATGGAAAAAATTGACATGATTATTAAGCTCAACATAATGTTGAGTTTGACATCAAAGTTTAATTATTTGACCAAAATTTTCACAAAATTAAACAATACAGACAATAAAAATAAGAAATAAAACAAATTTTAAATGTAAAGTTAGAGAAAAGAAAATTAGAAAAAGAGATGAAGTCCTAAAAAACCTACACCTTCAACTTTAAAATACTTGACATCAATCAAGTCTTTTTACCCTGGTTCAATTTTCAAAAGCTAATTTGCAGCATAAATGATTTAGCGATAGGAATACCGTCAATAACAGATATTCGATCAGTGCTCGTGACAATTTTATGATCGAGGATTCAAACATAATTCGTTATATGCAAAAATTTTAGGGTTAAATCTAATCAATGACCACACAACTTTATACTTTGTGTCTTATTGCTACTCAATTTAATTTTGTATCATCATGGTCACCCAACTTTATAATTAGTGCCACAATGGCTATTTAATTTGATCATGGACACCCAATTTAATATGACTTCTTACTGTAGCCACCCAATTTCATATAATATTCCATCATGGTCACTCAACTTCTTTTCATCATTTTTCACTAAATTTAAAAGGGGAAAAAGGGAAAAATGATAACTTTGTATTATATATTTAAAATAAATTAAAAATAAAATAAAAGTTATTTAAAAAATTGCTTAGAAAAATAAAATAAAATAAAATAAAAATTTATTTTAAAATATACGTTTTTAAAATAAGTCCCTGTTTGAGCCATATTTTCCATTCCACTAAAATGAAAAATGTGATTGTTACAACCTCAGCCGGGTCCCATACGTGAAACAAGAGGTCTACAATTGCGACTGAAAATGATTGATAATGGTATAATTTTTCATTTTTTTGGGCCAAATAATTGGGTTCAAACGTAGGCTAAAAAATCTTTTATTTTTTATTTTTTAATTTATTATATATATATATAATAGAAAATTACGTTTGGGCCTTGCTGGTGGAACAACCACCTGGATGTCCAGAGAGTTGTTCAAGTGCATTTTCCCATTACGTTTTAGCCCCTTTAAAATTAGTGAAAATGATGAAAAAAAATTGAACGGCCGTAGGAAAATGTTACATGAAATTGGATGACCATGATAAAATTATATTTAATTGGGTAGCTATGGTGCAATAAAATCATATTTTGTGGCTATAATGACACTAAATATAAAGTTGGATGGTTATTATGAAATGAAATAAAATAAAATTGGATGACCATAATGACATTAAATATAAAGTTGAATGGTCATTGATGAATTTAACTCTTTTATTTATTGACCTATTTTTATTTTCTTTGTTAATAAATTAAATTTATTTGCTTAATTTTGTTTCTGATATCCATTGGAAATTTTAAATTATTTTTCTAATTATAATTTCAATAGACGGTAGAATTTTTAGAATACAACTAACCATAGAATTTTAGAGCTGTAATAATTAAATTTTCATGTCCACCATTATTTTTTTATATAACTTTATCTTTGTATCATATAACGTATAGTCCACCATTTCGCCTCCCTGTCCAAACGATGGAAGATACCTGCAAAGATACAAAATAAAAGGATCAGTTAACATCAACACAAAAATTCAAATGAATTTATAAAATGTAAAATACAATAAACATAATTAATAAAAGAAATGCACAATCAAAAGAAATTAAAACAACTCATTAAAAAAAAAAAAAGTCATAAAGTAGAATTATACGTGAATATGCCACAATATATATACGTATAATAAAACGAAGTCTGCAGGAAAGCGTGTGTCAAATGGATAAATTCATCGGAATCGAGATAATCAACGGAAAAATACAATTATGAATTTTTATTGTAATTTAAATTCAGATTATTTTTCAAATTAAGTCCAGTCAATAATTAGAATTGTTAATCTGATAATTAAGCTGAAGTTAAGAATAGATTTGGGAAAATTAATTGCAGCAGGTAATTATATTTATGAGAACGCATAAAATATCTGTACACGAACATTGATTACTCAGGAACAAGGTTTCGGATCCTATCGGATTCCGGAGTACCAAAAAAAAACCGTTCCGTTCGTTTCGTCAAAGTGACGTCATCACAACCGCTCCGCCACCATCAGCCGTTACTTAATTTATCACCGTTCAATGATCTTCAGCCTTACACATGACGGAAAGCCGGCTTTTCCGTGGCTGGAAGCCGGCGCGGCGGCGCTGCTGGTGGGAGGAGGGGCGAATCAACGTCGCCAAAGCCCTCTTTACTAAATCTCCTTCCACAGTACCTATCCTCACCAGAGAATTCGTCATGGCGGAACGGCGCATGTTCAACCGCATTGGAGACGACGCCGTTTGAGAATGAACTGAATTTTGGCTCGCGAATCCTTTGTGTAAGCTGCAACGGAACGAACCGGGATGGTTGGTTGGGGAGCACATACAGGTCCTCTTCTGGCCGGCTGCGACCCGAGGATTCTCCCGGCTCGACACGGAGATCGATTGGTTCGGGGAGGTGGTGAAACGAACGGAGCGGTTAGTATAGTTACGGATATTTACGCGGGTGGGTGAAGTAGGCCTCTGGAGAGAGCGGGCGGTGGTGAAGGTTGAAGAGGTGGTGGAAGCAAACGAGGATGAGCCGTAAGACGACGGCGCGTGTGAGGAGCGTGAGGGGTTGTTTTACCTTTCGTTTGTGACTTTTCTTTATAAGAAAGGTTTTGTATTAATTGCACTTGTGGCCCATAATTCTAGAGAAATATCATTGAAGAGTTCTTGTTTCAAAAATTGACTCCATACTTTTAGGGTGGTCCAAACTTGGTGGGTCCTACAATTTTGAGCAGGAACTTTCCTTGTTATACAAATCGTTTTACAAGTATAAGATATTATGCAGTTCTCTTTTGTCAAACGTGTAGAAGAAAGAAAAATATTATGTTGATTCAATTGCAACTTTAATATTCAACGAATCATTAAATTTACATTAATACTCTTGAAGTATTCCAAACTCGTGTCCATCAATCTAAGCCCCCGTTTGGCTCCCATTTTTGGAAAAATAAAAATGTGTGGAATAGTATTTTTGTGAAGAATGAGTGATTGAAAAATAATGAAAAAATTTCGATTTACGTGTAACATACTTTTATGAAAGATTGTGCTGTTGAAAATAGGAGAGAAGAAAATGTAATGGAATGAAATTTAATGGGTGCCAAAAGAGGACTAAATCAAAAAATTCAAACTATATTGAATTTGAAATATTTCAACACCAAAAATATATTAAGCAAATATAAGACACTAGATCAGGATGAACTAAATGAAAAATATGATATTTTAACCACGACAATTTTCTTTACTTTCTAAACTTTAAATTTCTTGGCTTGATTAATTATTCAGCAATGCTATTTAGTAGTGCTCATGATGTCCATCTAATGAATTAGTTGGATCGTTGTCACGTAGTCTAGTAAAACTCGAATGTATTTTAATTAATTGGACAACATGACAATCTCTACTTTCACATTAGATGGTGATCATGAGTAGAACTTATGCATATAATTATTTTTAATTATTACTGAAAACAATGTCAATGTGTTTAAAATAGAAAAGAAAAAAATAACATTGAAGGATGTAATTGAAACATTTGATAAACAAGAAGGGTATGAAACTGCAATTCTAGTTAAACTATAGTCGCGCATATTATCAACCACAGTTTTAACTTTGAAGATCCCGTGTGCTGTCCGCGTTTATATCAAAACGACAAACCGATGTGCCGTTTGATTAACGACTTTTGTAGTGGGCTAAATAGTTCACTGGTTTGCCACTACGCGATCTACTTTAGTGATACACTCCTCGTAGAATCCACGTATTGAGTTAGTACTATTTTATTTTAAGTGGGGGGTGTGCATGCACATGTGGGGTGTTGTCATATATATCCAAAGACAATGTGACACATCTAATTGATACCACTCTTTGGTTGTTATTTTATGAAATTTATTTTGCTAAATGTAAAATATTCGACTGGTATAGTGGATTGTGCAATACTAAATAAAAATAAAGAAAAGATCAAGATTTCGGTGTACTTTGTCCAGACTATTCAGTTCTATTATGATAAGGTGGATTATACGATATTAGAATAATGCACACTAAATACGTTTGAGAGTTTGACTCATGTTTTAGTTTGTTTATTTTCTACATGATTTATCTACGACCTCTACAGTTGTTTGCATCGCTCTGTCCATTTCAAACAAAAGCTATGATGAAAGATAGGATAGTTACTTCTTTTCCAAGCTGTATATTGTAAGAATGCAAAGTAAACCAAAGCTGAGCGACATTGCCCTGAATGGAGACATGTACTTTCTCCCATCGTCAGTGCAGATTTTCGTGTTCTGTGGCCATTCTTTTATGTGTTTTTGTTACAAGATAACCTGAATACGACATGGAAGGATGCTAGCGTTCTTTATATGTCTATCGATTTAGTGGTTGATCGCCTGATTACAATTTAAAAAAAAAAAAAGGATTCTTCATCATGTTACGTTGTAGTTGGGCTTGAAATGGTTTTGTTTAGTTACGAGTTAGGAAATTAATCGAAAAGAAAATAAGGATTAATTAGTTTAATCACAATCAAAGGATTTAATTAGTTTATTGCATGATTAGGATAATAAGTTGGGAGTTAGGAGGAGTGGTACCATGTTTGCATGAATGTGAATAGGTTAAAAGGAAATTAATCAAATAATTAATTAATTAATTGGATAGTAAAATGTGAGTGAATATATGTTGGGGGTTAATAAATAAGGGAAGAATACATAACTCAGGTCTTAACTATACCCCAATTCAATTTTAAGAAAAAAGTTTAAAAATCCCAAACTCAAGTGTTAATTAATAAATTTCATATATCTAATAAATATTAATCTCAATATCTCGACTTACTCCAATATCTCTCCAGTCCCTTTACAGACTCGCCCAGCTATGTTATTTGTATCCATTCGTCATAATCCCCTCTTGTAGCTATCGGCATCCACTCGATTCGATATCCTTGAATATTGTATTTCAAGGATAACGACTTGTTTGGATTTTAAATTTAGTAAAATATAGACAAGAATTGACAAATTATCTTATTGAGCTTCAATTTGAACAATTAGTTGGCATCAATGGAGTGTAAAATTTATTCAGATATTTGATTTATCATCAAATTCGATGTAAATTTGTGACGGTATGATTTAAACATGTAAATTTTTACCTGTGATGTTGATCCAATGGCTTGTTACTAGTTCTCTTAGATTTAAGGCCTTTGGAAATTTATCAGTCCTATTGATTCAATGGCATATGACCAAATCTCTTTAGATCAGTGAGTTGTAGATATTGATCTGTTACACATACAAAATGATATGTAACTTGTGAATTGTTACATATGACCTATAATGTACGAACTGTATTACTCTGACCTGTGAACTTGAATCTGTGACTTGTTATCAGTGCACAAAGACATGTGACATGTGAATGGTGATCTGTAACTTGTGAACTATAACCCGTGAATTGTGAACTATAACATGTGATCTGTGACAAGTGCACAAAGATATGAGGACATGTTATCAGTTCATATGTCATAGGTCATCGTGCAAAGGTCATAGATCAATGTTCACATGTTACAGATCAATGCTCACAAGCCACTGATTAAATAAATTGGTCACAAATAACTGATTTATGTTCACAAGCCACACTACATTTTATGAACATGTGACCATCGTCAACAATACCAACACTATTTGCAAACCACAATCACTCCACCACCATCGACACCATAACCACACCAACAATCAATAAAAACCAACAAAATAGAGGGAGAAGCAACGACTTTACTTATTACCACCAATCAACCCAAAATAAAATAAAATAATAATAAATAAAAAAAACACAACAATCAAAAGCCCAACACTCCTCAAATCAGAAGCCCAGAAAGTCAATGGCAACGGTATCAAATTGGAAGCCCAGCACTCGTGTGATCCTCCAATTTAATTCTGACAACCCATTTCTTCATGTTAAATTTCTTCTTCACACTTTTGTAGCTCCCATTTACTACCATCCTTTGCAATTTAGATTAGTAGTAAAGAATTGTTTTATGAAACCCATTCCCAAAATAGAGGTGCCGCTTGATACTTATCTCTGCAGCGAGGCTGAATTAAAGGCTGCACGGTGTTGGGTAGATCGTCATCGTCCATCGATTTGCCGTCCACAGACGTCCCCAATTTGATTGTATGTGGTATAGAGAAAGAGAAAGGAGATCAAGGAGAGACAAGATAAAGAGAGTTAAATAATAATATTATTAATATTAATAAGTTGAGTTATCACCCGATTTATGAATAAGTAGACCTTAAATCATGGAACAAAAATCTAACGTAACGGCCCAATCATTATCATATGTCAGGAAACGGGGATGGGGTAATTAAATTTCATTTTGACATCCTTGAACTTTTAATAAAATGTCAAGTGGGTTGCTAAATTTTATTTTGTTTCAATTAAGTAATTAATTTCAATTTAATACCAAATTCACGACTCTATTCAATTTCATCATTTACCGTCCTGCAAATTAACGAAAATTGTTTAGTTGACCACCATGCCATGAAGTCTGTAACCGATCTTCTACATTATTAAAATGTAGCACCCTAAATACGATAACAGTAATAATGAATTTAGATTACAAAGTTAAATACATGTTTTTTCATATAATAATTTTATGACATGATATAGTGGTATGTTGGTATGCCCTGCAGTGATTCCGTTGAAGATACATTAAGGGTGTGTTTGATTACATTTCTTTTCCATGGAAAATATTAATTTTCCACTCAAATTCCTACTTAGAGTGTTTGATTGCTATTTTTTTTTCCATGGAAATCATTTTTCAACTTTTGAAAATATGCCTAATTTTCCTTGTTTTTAAGGATAACATTTTCCTTGGGTAGAGGTGGTTTTTATTTTCTACAAAAGATGAAAAATATTTTTTTTTCTAGATGATATTTTCCATGTCAATCAAACACACTCTAAGATATGATTTTTGTATGCACTTTTAATGAACGTGAAGAAGTGATGAAATTTGAAATTGAAATTTACCTAAGTTGGTCTTAGTTACTTATTTCTACTTATTTTCGAAACCGTAATTTGATTTTCGAAGAATGATGACAATTTCCACTTTAGGTCGGTGGGTACCACTAGCGAGATTATGGTAGAATAAATATCAAACCTAATGGTTCGGTTACTCACAATAAGAGGGGATATAACTAAACAAGACAACTTGGACTATGTGAGATATGGAGAACCTGCATGAACAAATCGATTCAATTGGTATTTTTGTGTACCTTCTTATTCTACAAAAATAGAAAATTAGGCAAATACTTTCTAAACATATGTGATATAGGTTGGTAGAGGAAACCACCATCGACGGCAAGCAAGATGGATCACAGCACTTCGACGCGAGGTCGTTGACCCCCTAGGGGCGCTCTACCACTACTTTCAGGGGGCGCTCTACCACTACGCGAGGTCGTCGACCCCCCTAGGGGCGCTCTACCACTACGCGAGGATGACGACCTTCTAGAGGCGCTCTACCACTATGCAAGGTCTACAACTGGCATGAGACTGCCTATCCAAACACTTAACCATAAAACTCCTAGTGAATTAACTAGGTTCCATGGCCG